AAAAAATATAGCTTAAAGGAGCTAATAATTTTGACCTTAAAATTGCTTTTAAATAATGTAATCTGCTTTTTTATAGCCTAAATGAAACAAATAACACTTTCTCCAAAAGAGAAATATTATCTAAATATCAAAATATTATGAGACATACTGTGAAAATTTCCTTGCTCCATTAAACATCATTTTAAATATTTAAAATGATAATAATTATAATAATTATGACTTTAACTGTACAGCCATATTGCACTGCTACTGTGAGATTGCTCATATATATTGCTCAGGTAATGAGAATGACAAGCATTTTTACATTACACTATTGCAAAGAAGAATTGATAAACCTTAATTATAGCATGATATACAGCAAAATAAATTTTAAAACAGTCTAACATATTTTTTCTACAGTGGATATAAATGAAAATGAATTATCATTGCAAATCATCTGCAAATTTTATTAGCATAACCTATTATATTAGCAATTGCATCCAAGCATTCTGTAAAATAAAATGTAAAAACAAAGAGAGAATTGCAGTGATAATACAAAGTGCACAGGAATCTATGTGTGTGTTCAGCGTCTGACAGGTGCTTGTGTGTGTTCAGCGTCTGACAGGTGTGTGTGTGAGTGTGTTGATCTGATCACTGAAATGATTGTGGATTAGCGCTGATGCTGGAGCTGTCTGAATATGAGCTCTTGAATAACACACAGATTAATCACAGCTTTAAAGCAGGCAAGATGTTCTGTTCCTGTGCCGCTGCTTTCACAGATTAAATTGTCCAATTACATTAGATGTGTGTTTCAGACAGAGACTGATCAATGCAAATCACTGCCTTCACTGCACACTTATTATGTTAATAACCCACACATCTGTGCGAACCGGTGACATTTCTGTAAAATCAATGCTCAGACGGGTTATTACTAAGAAGAAATCCATAAATATTTCTGATCATTCGATATAAAATGTAATGTTTAAATGTGTTTCTTATTTAATTAAGTCTATTTGGAAGTAGCATTTGACTTTTTTTATAAGTCACTTATAAAGTTAATAAAAAATGACTCCTATTTTCCTCAAATTAAAAATAAAACAAAGCCTAATTTAAAACGCAGCATAAAATGTATAATATAGTATAATATAATATGATAAAATATGATATATGGTAATATAATATAATAATTAAAATGATAGAACTATGCTAATTATTTTAATTCTATTTTAAATGTTTCATTATATTTTCTTTATATTTTTTTCTTCTCAATAAAATCTAATTTCTTTTTGATAGAAACTAAATATTTTAATATAGCAATAATCATTTGAATAAAAATATCAAATATAAAAGATTGTGTTTTTTGTATTTTAGAAATATTAAATGTTAATTTAAGTAATATAATATGCAATTTATTATTTTTTACTTAATATTTTTATACTATAATATTGAATTTATTAAATATTAATATTGAAAATATATATATTTTTAAATATTAAATTCATTCATTCATTTTCTTTTCGGCTTAGTCCCTTTATTAATCTAGGGTCACCACAGCGGAATGAACCACCAACTTATCCAGCTTATGTTTTACACAGCGGATGCCCTTCCAGCTGCAACCCATCTCTGGGAAACATCCATACACTCTCAGAAATAAAGGTACGTGAGCTCTAACTGGGGTGGTACCTTTTTAAAAGGTAAGAATTTGTACCTTAAAGGTCCATATTAACACCTCAAGGGTACATATTAATATTTAAAAAGTACAAAAGTGTTCCTCTTAAAAGTTTTAGGTACTAATATATACTTTTGAGGTACCAATATGGACCCTTTAAGTACAAATGTGTACCTTTTGAAAAGGTACCACCCCAGTGACAGCTCGCTTACCTTTATTTCTGAGAGTGTATAAACCCATTCCCACTCATACACTAAGGACAGTTTAGCCTACCCAATAGGGTAGATGCCGAGCTAGTGCTGTTCCCATGCTGATACACTTCCGGTGACCTGTTATTGTGAACTTTTTCTCATTTTATAAGGTTCCTTATACAGCATCAATGTTGTAATATAATTAAAATACATTCAGTTAAATAATTTATTTTATAAATAAATAGCATTTATTTAGTTGTTCAAGCGTAAAACGACACAAAAAGCTGTTTACTTGCACGCGCTCGTCAGAATCGGCAGGCTACCGCAGAAGCTCCATTGAATATACTTGGGTAAAATAAATGCTCATATTATAAAGATATGGCGGGGGAAATGTAATTTAATGCAGTGCTTCTTGTACAATCCGAGACCCACTTTAAATCGGATATCACTCAGCTAGTGGAGATCGCTGATTTTTAAAGAAAACAGACCTGAAACGCACCAGATTTTGCATTGGCATTCAATTCGCCGGAAGCGCTTAACCCAGGTTAATGGCAAATTAAAAGTCCTATTAGCATGCTTCGGCATATACCCCATTCACCTGTACCGCATGTCTTTGGACAGTGGGGGAAACCGAAGCACTCGGAGGAAACACACGCGTATGCAGGGAGAACATGCAAACTCGACACAGGAACACAAACTGACCCAGCCGAGGCTCGAATCAGCGACCTTCTTGCTGTAAGGCGACAGCACTACCTACTGCACCACTGTGTTGTCAAATATTAAATTACATACTTAAAAAAATATATATGAATTATATTTATGTAATTAAATTCACATATTTATAAGAGTCAAATGCACCAGTGTTTGGATCAATGCCTCCAGCTGTATTGACGTAATTTTTTTTTTTAAATTACGTTCAGAAAATTATACAAACAAAGCAGACCTCACATGCACAAACAAAAGAATGAACTAATACAATAACAACAGTAGGCAGAAAACAATATAGGAAAGATAATCAATTGATCACTTGAAAGATAAAACAATTGTACTTGACATCACACAAGGAACAAAAGGTGAGAATGTAATAATAATAGAAATCAGAAAAATGATTTTACTTTATACAATGTGAACCTTCAATACTTTATTATAGCAATATCATTTAACATGTACGTACAAAGTGATGAAATAGAAAGTTTTCTGCTGTATTGTGTTTTTTTCTTTCTCTCTTTCTTTATTTAACCTTCAAATAACAACAGGCATTTTCAGCTTCCATTGTTGAACAGATCCAAGCAGCATATAATAAACAAAACAGTACAAATAATAATAATAACATTAATAAAACACGGCTGTCATGGTGGTGCAGTGGGTAGCACGATCGCCTCACAGCAAGAAGATCACTGGTTCAAGCCTTGGCTGGGTCAGTTGGCATTTCTGTGTGGAGTTTGCATGTTCTTCCCATGTTTGCGTGGGTTTCCTCCACAGTCCAAACACATGCGCTATAGGTGAATTGGGTGGGCTTAAATTGTCCGTAGTGTATGTGTGTGAATGAGCATGTATGGGTGTTTCCCAGTGATGCAGCTGGAAGGGCATCCGCCATGTAAAACATATGCTGGATAAGTTGGCGGTTCATTCTGCTGTGGTGACCCCAGATTAATAAAGGGACTAAGCCAAAAAGAAAATGAATGAATGAATGAAATAAAACATTAAATCATACAAATACAAATGAAAATACATTAAGAGGGGTCAAAGCATATAAGTTGACAAAAGTTTAGCTTTAAGGCACATGTTTTATGGATTTAAACATTTTGAAATCATTTTAAAAGGCTGTGAAACGGAAAATTTTGAACAAATCAATATTTGTGTATATAAAACCTTGCTACAATCAACATATTATTGCACAAAAAAATTATATGTTCCTGCTGTATTGCGGTTTTCCCTCCCCGCGGATGTAACAGACTCCATTCCGTCTCCTGGTCTGTTTGGCTCCGCTCCGGGTCTTGCGCGCCGCCGCCGCCGCTCTGCCCAGCTGACTGGCAGTACTTGTTTACTGGTGGAGGCACACAGGGAGAGACGAGAGGGGGAAAACCACACCGCCGACAACACGAGACAACTTTTGCCCACTTTCAGCCCATTCCCACGCCGATGAGCTCAGCCAGACCGCGCACCGGGCTCTCGTCGACGGAACCGAGCGGTTTAACGGGCAGGCCGAACACGCGCTGGACGCCGCTCTGTTGATGAACGTGGAAGATTAAAACGCGACGCGACCGTGACGCGCACACACGCACGCACACACATACACACACACACTTCGGGATCATTGTGCTGGAAGCAAAGGCTTCAGCAGAACATCTCTGCTTTTATTCTCCTCTCAGCGTTGTGAAGATACGCAAAGGAGTGTGGATATTTAATTTTAGAGGACGCTGGTTTATTTCTGACAGCAGAATCGCTACAGAAACCATTGTGGTGTGTGTGCAGCATGTGTTTATGTGGATGAGGAGATGCCCATTTTTTGACGGGGACATTTGGCAGTGCATGAAACGACCTGTGGAATAACGATTATATTTTTTATTTTAATATTATAATTTTTGCTTGTGCCCTCGGAGACATTGTTGGCTTTTTTGACAATTGAGAAGCGATTTTTTTGTGTGTAAAACGTGGACGTATTTTTTCTTTGTTTTAAATACAACCTTGTCTACCTTTTTGCTGATATTGCTGTAGCAAACTAAAGCAGGGGTTATGAAAAAGTTGCAATGTACTGTACCCTTAAGGGTACCTCATTCCTAGAAGTGTGGGATTGATTCCATGGAAGAGATGCATGGACGTTTTTCATGCTTGCTCCACTAAAAGCCAGGATGCATCCGAAAAATCGCTCAAAATGATTTTCAGTCGTTTATTTTTCTCAAGGGTGCAGGATCATGTTATTTAACACTCATTTCACCCCTGCTGTGTAATGTTAGGCAACAACTACTTCAGTTGAACATTATCTTTATCTGAAGCACGCTGGACCCCCGGGTCCCCTTCTTGGGGGGTCTGATTTAACTTTTTTGTTGTTGTTTTTGATACAAGACAAACAACCTTATTTTCCTTTTAATTTTTGATTTTCGGACACACCAGAGGTGGATTTAATTTTCCAAGGAAACCAAAACGTGTCGCGAGGCAGAATGCGGCTGGACACATCTGTGGTTGTTTTGGTCACTTTCGCCTACATCTTGTGCCTCTGCGGATCACTACATGGAGAAAGTGAGTAATGCCTGTCTATAACGCTCTTTAATGCGCGAATTATGGATGTGTTGTTCCTCAATGTGTGCGTGTTGTAGTTTACAATTGAGGGGACTTGTGGAATTCACTCCATGTAGACTTCGGCTGCTCCGACATGTGTTGAAAGGGATGTCGGAGAAATGTTATCATTTAAACATGGCTTTAATGCTTAAATTGAGTAATTCTAAATCATTGTTATGAACTGTAAATTACAAAAAAGTGCGATTACTACCATTATGAGAATGTGATATCTAATTATTTGTAGTTAAAAGTGCGTTTTCATTCATCCTCCCCCCGCTCCTTCTGAAAATGGGCCGTTCCTTTAGGCCTGGCGTTCTGTGCGTCAGCCCGAAGGCTAGATTAGCGCTCGTGACTGGACTCGGCGGGATTCGCGAGCGCGCGCACGACTGGATTCCAGACGCGCACACGCACGTTCTTCACGTTCGATTTGGAAGCGTGTAAACAAGTTGAGGCCCTAAGAAGATTCCCAGATCCCATTAGAGCAGGATTAGCCTACATTGAGCTTCTTTCTGTCGACATATTCAGAGATATCAATTAATAACTCCCGACGGAAGGAAGGGGATTCATATATTTTATTTATCAGATACATTCAGATGTGTTTGTAATGCTTAATAAGGTTTAGATCGATATGATTCGTGTTTTGGTGATAATTTGAATGACTTTATTCGTTTTAATAGCATAATAATGATCACAAATGATAGACTAAGCATATTCAATCCCAATTTTCTTCCTAGATATGAAAATATCCAAAATTGTGTGTTGTTATTAACTCGAACTAACTTGAAGTAATTGACAAAAAAGAAAACAAATGCAACCATTATCAAAATTACTAAACTTGTTTTACACCATAACATGGATATATTTATGTATCCAGTATTGAAATTTCAGTTTTGGAACTTATTTGTTACATTTTAACTTTTAATGCTGTGAGTTTTGATTAAAACATAGAATTTTAAACTGCTCAGGTCCTACAAAAGTCCACATATTTAATAAAATGCTTAATTTTTTTACATATTTGAGTAAAATACCCTAAAACACCAGTTAGTAACATTTATAGAGCTTCATAAATGGATAAACTCAATTTCAGATATATTGTTGTGACTGATGGGATTCGATTTAAAACAGACAATGGTAGTTTGTGTACATTTAAATCAATATTTATTAATTTGAGAAATTATTTTTCATATTAGACGTTAGCAAACATGTTTAAACAAACCAGTAAATTCTCATTTTTAAAAGGATTGCTTTATTTATTTGCTTTTAATACACCCTTTTTTTTTTTTTTTTACAAACAGCAACGTTTCCTACTAAATTTGTTTTTACGTTTTATTTATTCACGCACTAAATGAAGCGTCAGCAAGCATTTAGCGAGATCCTGCATTGCTGTTAAATTTACAGCTACTATAACTAAACCCCTTCAGCTTTTCCATGTCTGAACATCATTTTAAATTTAGGACAGGCGCTTTTATGGGCACACTCAGAATAGTCGTCTGTTAATGTTTTTAGAGATGCTATCTCAAGAAAAAGCTGGACCGAGGCCCGCAATAGTAACGTGGTGTTATAAATAATGGTGTGGGAATAATTGGATCTTCTCTGATATAGATAACTGCTGTGTCCCAGTGAACCATTTGAACTCCAGATTGGGAAAACGTGAGGTGTTTGCTGGTGCAGTTATTAGTCTGTGGACTCAAGGCTGACAGTTATATCATAATACTTTCCTAATTAATGGATTACATTTAAGAAAGTTTATTTGTAATACAAATTTTCTAAATTGTTATGTTTAAATACACATTTGATGCATTATCAAGTAACACTTTACAATAAGGTTGCATTAAAGCTAGTCAGTGTATTTGCTAACAATAACAAATAATGAAAATGCGTTCATTACAGAGTTTATTCGTCTTTGTCAATGTTAGTTAATGAAAAATTTAAGTTGTTCAGCATTCAAAAAATACTTATAAATACTTATTTAAAATGGGTTGAAACTAGGGCTGCACAATATATCGTTTCAGCATCGATATCGCAATGTCATCATTCTCGATTGTCACATCGCAGAATATACGCAATGTTGAGTGTGTATTATAATTTATCGTTTGCATGTGTTTTTGATGCTTTTGATTGTATAATTATTTTAAAAACATCCAGGCATAAGATATTTGTACCGTTTGTGACCTTAACTACTATTAATTTTGTTAAATTATTTTTATCATTCAGTTACTTCACTTGAATGCTGTTAGACTCGGGAAACGATAAAAAAATTCAATTTCAATTCTATCTTTTTCTTAAATGTATTTGGAGATTATTATGCACGAAAATACAACGCATGCAAACACAGAAATTCACTGCAAATAGCACAGACAACAACGAAATTTTTATTTTATAGATTGTTTATAAAATTTTATGGAAATGCACTACCAATACAGAATCATCCGAATCGATCTAAGTTCTTTCCAATTAGAGATATTAAGTCATCTGGTGAAATTGTATTCATATCCCAATATATATCGCAAATTGAAAAAATATCGCAATGTTATGTTTTTCCAATATTTTGCAGCCCTAGTTGAAGCAACACAATTCTTAAGTATATTTTGAGGACAACTTAATTCCTAACGCAATTCATTTTAACGTAATCAATAACGTAATACATTTTTGTTGGGACAAAATGTATGAATTGTGTTGGAACCCAGCATTGTTTATACAGTGATTGTTAGTTCAAGTGCATTAAGTTAACAAGTTACCTTTGGATTTTCATAATGAGTAAATGTTGAACGATGATTAATAAATGCTGTTCATTCATAGTTTGTGTTAATAAAAACACAAATGAACTATTTGAACCTAATTATAAAGTTAAATGATTTAATTAATTTACTATGTGCTAATTTGCATAAATTTCTAGTCCTGAAATTGAAACAACAGGTGAAGTCAGGATCAAACTTATTTTTAGTTTCTTTGATATATTAGGTGATGTATAGATGACAACGATGTAGTCAAAAAACGAATCACACATCTATATTTTTAATTATGATTTACATAAATTTGTAGCACAGAAATCGAAACAACAATTAAAGTCAGGATTAAACTTACCTTTAGTTTCTTTGATATATTAGGTGACGCTTGCACAACAACGAGTAACCAAAATAATGTATCACACATCGATATTTTCAATTATAATTTGCATAAATTTCTAGTGCTGAAATCGAAACAATGGGTGAAGTCAAGATCAAACTTACTTTTAGTTTCTTTGATATATTAGGCGATGTATACACGACGATGTAGCCAAAAAACAAATCACACCTCGTTATTTTCAGTTATGATTTGCATAAATTTCTAGTGCAGAAATCGAAACAACTGGTGAAGTCAGGATCAAACTTATTTTTTGTTTCTGTGATGTGTTAAGCGATGTTTACATGACAACGATGAAACCAAAAAATAAATCACACATCGATGTTTTCAATTAGGATTTGCATTTACTTGTGTGTGTAAAACGGCCAGGCCCAGTAGATGGCGCTTTCATCTCATTCATAACAGAAGTTTACAATGTTTGCATTCTTCTGATTGGTCCACAGCTTTAAAACTGATATTGATGAGTGGTGCTGCAAGAGAATCACAAGCATAACGCACATGCAAGTGAATCAAGCATGTGTTTACTAATGCTGTGTTCACACCAGATGCGGTACGCGCAGATAAATCGCTATTCTCACGTAAATAGACACGTGAACATTTTGCGTTTACTCGCTTCATTTGTGCGTCAAATTCACTTCCAATTGAGCGGATTTGCATGATGGGCAGGGCTTCTGTCTGCTCGGTGACACTAGCTTTATTGTTACATGGCTAACATGGATTTTTATGTGCTTTATGAAGACAGAAAAACGGTGTTGATTCGTTTGGAGCCGTGTCTGGGTCCACTAGATTCTTTCAGAGGTGCACCCAGCTCTGTGAGCTCATAAACTCCTCCAGAAACTGTACCTGGATGATGGAGGCTTTCAGCAGTGCTTCAGACTGAGTTTAATGAACTGTTGTCCGGTGTCGGCAGGAGGATTTCTACCTGGGACACCAACAACAGGCACTATGTCATACTCACGCCCATACAAGAGAAAGCTCCTGATTGGTTAACGCGGAATAAATGTCTGCTAAAGATTTTCTAACTCGAGCGATTCGCATCATTCGCGCGTATCGCACCACAGGCTGTCTATTTGCATCTTTTCATTGACTTAAGATGTAAATCACTTGCGCTTGATGCTTCTTCCATGTCTGATGTGAACACAGCATAAGACAATGTAAAAGTTGCACACTGGAATAAAAAACGTGTTCTGTGTGAACGACCCTTATGAGTTACTATGTACATGCATGATGTCACCGTTTACATGAAGACTGAAACAACTTTTCCGAATTGGTAAAAAAAATTAAATATTTTGCACTCCTGCTTTGAAACCCAATTTTAAAAGTTTTTTTCAGTCCCCAAAATGCTGTCGTGTAAACAAACAAGTAAAATGCATAGTGCAGTGCAAAACATTTTCCGTTTTTGGACACAAACGTTGTTCCTAAAACAGCCCCTTAAAGTCATTTTGGGAATCTCTTCTTATTATCCAGTTTTGAAAATACTGTGAAGATCCAGAAAGTTTTAAATTTTACATTTTGTTTAAAAAATTCAGGATAATTCTGTAGGAACAAACCCCTCTGTAAAACCTTTACAATACAAATTTAGTGGAGATTTATGGCTCGTTGCTGGTGAAAAAGCAAAATTTAGAAAAAAAAACAACCTTTTAAACATTAAATAAAATGATAAATAAAGTGATAAAGTGTATTTTGGATGCTTAATGTTCCAAATAAACAAATAAATGCTCCAAAAAAATAAGAGCATGATAAAAGTGCCGTGTCAAGCTATAAATTCTTGTGTTTTTATGTAAAGACATTCCCAAAATGTCTAAAGCAATTTTCCAACTGCTAGCAAATGGTTGTTC